TTATGAGGCTCGATTGCGGAGAACTTCGGATAGGGAGAAATCCCTTAACCTTCTTTGTGCGAAAAAAGAAAGCGAGCTAGTATCACTGCGGTGTGAGGCGGATTGAAGCTGGAGCCGTGAGAGCTGCCTCGAGAGACAGGTATCTTGTATTTCATGTTGACGTATTCTCCTTCTTTCATTTTCGGAGGTTAGCATTTTGATATTTCAATTAGATAGCAAAACAGAGGAGCTAGAACGATCATGGGGCGAAGTTGGCAGGGTCAAACATGAGTTCGACGAGCTGCAAGCCCATGTAGATGCCCAAGTTGTGGCCAAGGAGAATGCTTTGGCTAAAGTTTCCACCCTGGAGATGCAAATCCAGACTACTCGTGCGAGTGATTCTGCACGGGCGAACATGATCGCAAGGCTCGAGTCTGAGCTTTCAAAGGCGAAAGCCGAGGTGGTGAATGCCCAGGCCGAGGCTGTGATGAGCAGTACTATGGTGGATCAGAGAGCGGCGGCCAATTTGAAAAGTGTTGCCACTGCTAGAGCTGAGCCAAGGAGAACTCTTGGTCGTGCGAGCAGCAGTAAGGAGTACACCAAGTGCAAATCTCGGAGGGAAACTCTCGAGGAAGTTCATGCCAGGGGTTTCGATCTTTCAGAAGAGATCGAGTAAGCCAAGGCAGAGGAGTATGATGCCAAGTTCCTTCTGTCTGATGCCAAAGATGGCGAGGATGGGGCCGTCAGGCCGTAGTCCCCAAGGGGGACGTCTATTTTCTTTCTTTGTCTTTGTATGTAGTGCTTTCACAGTACACTGTAAATGGATCTTGTATTTTATTACATGTATGTATAAGGAGGAAACCTCAAAATTTCTATACCTTTCGGGTTCCATTTTGTCAAGATTTCGGCCAGATCAGTCGACCTTTGAGTTGGTAGGAATCCTTAGATTCGTGATATGGCCTTGGGGCTCGTTAGGCTGGCCTGTAGGCTCTTATGCCTTAGGTCGAAGCGACCTTTTGTGTGTATGGCCCTAGGGCTCATTAGGCTGGCAACAATGGCTCTTACGCATTGCCCTTAGGCATATTTAGCTAACTATTTTGGGTTCAGTTTCCGAGTCAGGTTCCGACTCGGGCTCATTCGACCCTCAAGTTTTGTGCGGGCTGGCGACAATGGCTCTTACGCCTTGGGCCGATGTGGCCTTTTAGTGTGGGCTGGAGACAATGGATCTTACGCCTTTGCCCTAAGGCATATTTGGTTAACTATTTTGAGTCCAGTCTCCGAATCGGGTTACGACTCAAGCTCATTTTGACCCTCAAGTTTTTAGACTTCAGGCTAGTGATAGTGGCTCTTATGCTTTTGGTCGATGCGAACTTTTAGTGTGGGCTGGCGACAATGAGTCTTACGCCTTTGCCCTTAGGCATATTTGGTTAACTGTTTTGAGTCCAGTCTCCGAATCGGGTTACAACTCAAGCTCATTTTGTCCCTCAAGTTTTTATATTTCAGGCTGGCGACAGTGGCTCTTACGCTTTTGGTCGGTGCAACTTTTATGTGTGTGGCCCTAAGGCTCATTAGGCTGGCGATAATGGCTCTTACGCGCTTGGTCGATGCGACCATTTATGTGAGCTTTATTTTTCCCTCGATAAGGATAAATGGTGTTTGCCTGACTCTTCGACGGCCTAATAAAACACCTCAATTGTGAGTCATTATATGGCGATGATCGAGCACCTCGGGAGGTTTTGGCTCGGAGGCTGAGTATCTCGAAGGCGATGTGTTGGACCTGACATGGTCGAAGCTTTTTTGCCTGTATCGAGGGTAGCCTATTTAACCGGTTCTTTCCGAAGTAGATTCGGAGTAATTGAAGGCCTGTGATTTTGTAGCGATAGTCAGGCGTCCCCGAGTCGCGTTAGTTTGGCTGGTACGGCCGTATGATCGAAGTCATTTGTGTTTGGCCGGAGCCTTTGAGTCCCCAGTGAAGTAGTTTTGGCATCTAAATCAAGGGTATGCCTTTTGAGGGGTCTTACAAGTTCGATATATAGCCGAAACGTTGGGATCCGGTTTATGCCTTAAGTAAGGTCTTACAAGTTTTACATGTCGTTGAGGTCTTATAGTTTTGGATACTTGGTACAAGTATTGTTCATGCCTTGCTTGAGGTCTTACAGATATAGTTGTTGCCTTATGTAGGTCTTACGAGATCGACGGGGTCTTATAGCCTCGGGTTTTGATAATTCGATGGAGATGGCATTTGACGGCAGTCCCTGAGTCATCAAGGATTTGTTGACTCGGGAGCCATTATTTGCAAACTTTTTATTGCCTCGTCGACGGCTTACGATTTTAGAGATCCCGACCCTGAGGTCGTGCGTTTTTTGAGATTTTGACGCTAGTCCCCGAGTATTCAAGGTACTTTCGACATTGGAGATGTTTCACGATTTTCATATTGCCTCATCTTAGAGCTTATGATTTTGGAGTCCCGACCCAGAGGTCCTTTAGGTGTTGAATTGTTGACGCCAGTCCCCGAGTATTCGGGACATTTTCGGCGAAGAAATAGTTTTTGCGGAGGTGCCGAGCTTCTTTTGGAGTGCGAGATGCTTTGACGAAAGATATTCTTCAATTATATGGTACAAGTGTACATGTTTTTTCCGTCGGGGGTTCGGCTATACAGACACGGCTCGTTTGACCATTTGGCTCGGTACATCGTTTTTCTATTGGGACCCCATTTGGCGTTTCTTATCTTTTCCGAGCGTATGACCTTTCGGGGGAATGCCCCTTAGTTTCCGGGGTCGATTGCGAAAGAAACCTTGAACACTTGTTGGATTTTCCTAAGGTAGCATATGGATGTTGCCTCATTAAAAACCTTGTCGGTAAAACCTTTCTTGGGATGAAACTCGGTCGAAGGAAAAGAGTGCAACGGATGCATTAAAACCTTAAGGTCAGCATGAAATATTATAAAATAAAAAGGAGATGGTTATATCTTAGTGGCGATGGAGCTTTCGATCCTTGGTATTCGTTTGGAGGACACGGTACGGTCCTTTATTTGGATGCGGCCGAGGGCGCATCTCGTGGTTGTTGTCTTAGATGATCATGTCGATGACGTATTGCGGCTCGTTAGCCTTGTCTCTTTTGGTTGTTTCCCTTTCTTGAGACCGATTTTTGGCTTTGTTGCTGAGGAATTCCCGAAGATGGCCATTGTCGAGTAATCGGGCCACTTCCTCCCGGAGTTGCCGATAATCTTTGGTCCTGTGCCCGTGCGTGTTGTGAAATTCGCATACCAAATTATAGTTCCTTTGTGAAGGATCCGATTGCACAGGTCTTGGCCATCTGGCGTCTGTGATTCTGCTGATGGCGAACACGATATCTGATACATCGACATTGAAGTTGTATTCTAATAAGCGAGGTGCCTCCATTGGCCCCACATTCCTATCGAACCTTACTCTATTGTTGAGTCCCCGAGGATTGTGTCCTCGGTATATCCTTCGATCGTTACGAGGTAGATTGCGCCTTAGGCGTTCCTCTTGTCTTTGGTGTACGGTTGATATCTTTATTTGCTTGGCTTTGGCTCATTTGCCAAGAGCCTACTTAAGTATACTGAGCCTGAGGGGGCTCCTAGCTGGTCGTCCTCGACCCTGATTTTTGACTGGTATCAATTGTGGACGTCCGACCAAGTCACTGTGGGATATTCGACCAGATTCTCTTTCAGCTGCTTTGAAGCCACCGAGCTTCGTTCATTCAGACCTTGAGTGAAGCCCCGCACCGCCCAGTCGTCAGAGACTGGTGGTAGTTCCATTCGTTCTGTTTGGAAGCGAGATCCGAACTCTTGCAGCATTTCGTTCTCCCTCTGCTTGATCTTGAACACGTCAGACTTCCTCGTTGCTACTTTGATGGCACCGGCATGTGCCTTTATGAAGGAGTCTGCTAGCATGGAAAATGAGTCTATGGAGTTGGGAGTTAGGTTGTGATACCACATCATGGCCCCCTTCGAGAGTGTTCCCCGAATTTCTTCAATAAGACGGACTCGATCTCGTCATCCTTTATGTCGTTGCCCTTCACTGTGAAAGTGTAAGCAGTAACGTGATCGTTGGGGTCTGAGGTCCCGTTGTATTTTGGTAGTTCTGGCATTCTGAAATTCTTTGGAATGGGTTTCGAAGCCGCTTCCTCAAGGAACGGCCTTTGCACGAATTTCTTCGAATCCATACCTTTCAGGACCGGGGGTGCGCCCGGAATTTGGTCGACTCCAGCATAATATACTGGCGTATTTTCCGGATTTTGAACAGTGTTTTCGCTCAGATTTATCTTTACATGAAAAGTGGCTAAATTTCGATTACTTTTGAAACTGAGCTATTTTTGAACGACCGGTTGTAAATCTGACTATTTTTTAATTTCTCCCAAAAAAGTGACCTCAAGTCCTCAGCCCCATGACTACTTTGCTTAGCTTTTTTTTTTTTGAAATAAATTAGTATAGTGTAGGAGCCAAATCTTAACTTAGACTCAAGGAATTCACAAAGCACGTGAAGAAAGCATGAATCAACTGACACAACCGCAAAGGTGAAGTTGCCACCATTACTAGTAGGCTTTCATTTTGACCACACAACTATAACCCATATTCTTCCCTGACACAAGGATATGCTTTCACCTCACCTCCCCAGTCCTATGTTTCTCAACAAGAAATTTCCATGCTTTCATTATAGAAAAATATTCACTCAATATTCCAGCTTGCCTTAGAGCTACTGTCACCTAAATATCCTACTTACAACACATGTAAAGAAAGCTAATTGATCAAAAGCTTTGTCGGAGGAAAACAAAAGAGCAAATGGTAACTGTGCTGAAAATAATGGCGTTAAAGATAGCACCATAATGCTTATCCAAGTACGGGTTTTTTCTATTGATGATTCAATCTAATGGCAATCCAGTATCAAAAGCTGGTTAACTTACATATCCCTAGCTGCTCAGAGGATGGACAAGTTTTCTTACTAAATGATGAAACAATTCATGTGCATTAAGCTTAGAACTCTACGGCCACGAATTACTTAACTTGAACTGAATAGCTGGGTACATAAAAACAAGAAACATGCTCCAGATGGGCATAATATTCTCATCTTTATCTGATTGCAAGAATATTGACAAACCTTAACGAATAACATACCACACTAGAGCTGCAGATTACAAATATAGACTACAAACAAGATGAAAAAAAATTGTAGAGCAAAGTAAATGCCAATAAGCTACCTATACAAACACAAAGCTAACTGCCACTCAAATTTACTGCCAAAAGGTTAGCTCAAATTTGATATCTTGAGATTCTTTTCCTGCTGATCTGTAAGCAGGCAGGGACCATAGTCTAAGTCAGAAGCACAGCAAGATTCATTGGCTATTCCCCGCGTTTGGAGAGATGCCTTTTTTGCCCCAACCAGAGAGCAGACAGATCAGTCATTCTTTCATTGGCATGCTTGTTACAATTTTACAAACAACCATTAGAGGTGTAAAAATAGGGGATTTGTAAAGTAGACAAGGAGCTCAGGAGGTCTACATGGAGTAGCTTCTCAAGGCAGTATATGGGTTTTTCCTTGTATGTTATTGTGTGCTACGTGTTAACCCACTCCGTGCCACAGTCCTGCAGAAAAATAAGTTATTATTTGAAGTTAAGAATACATAACATCAGAAAAATAAAAAAATGTGTAAGTAACAATTTCATATTATGCAGTATTATATTCTAGCAAGGATGAATGAGCTGTAATTGGAGAAAATTCAAACTGTTAGCAGCTTAACCAAATCAAAATTTTCGGTAGTAAAGGAAGGCACAATTAGCTCCATGCTACTAGGAAACCATGGCAACTTTCCTTGTGGTTGCACCTAATGATCCAGAAGCCTAATGTTTTAGCTAGCCGAACAGCAACAAGAGTACCATAAGCTGTCATGAATCAGAACTGCCTTAGGATAAACTACTTATCCTTTGAACTTCCACCTGAATTTAACTTCAGCAGCAGAAACACTCTGAAAAATAATTCAGAACTTCTACCTGTGTTTAACTTTAGAAGCAGAAATCCTCCGTATTAACTATTTTTCAAGACAAGAAAGTTATGTTCAAAGCTTTTGTGAGGTACAACACTTGTATTTGGAAAGCAGAATCTCTGAGTATGCTATCCAGAGAGCTCTTTCAGAATATCAGATGAAAGAAGATAGAAAAGTTGGTGGGTTCTTTGATGCAATAACCCCACACCATGGAGTTTCACTAAGCTGATGTTGTCCATTTTTAGGAGCAACCTTCTTAAGCTGCTGAGGCAGCTTCTCCAGAGACAGTGTCTCCTCAATAATTTCAAAATATTGGCCTCTGGTTTTAGGTAAAATTTAGGTAAATGTACCAAGTCCTTTAGGGTCATCGGGCATAATTGGATAACTTCTTTGGCTTTATTGAGGGACTCCAATCGAGAAAGCCCTATAGTCGACCTACTTCCATCTTAAAGGCTAAAGCATTGAAGAAAGGAAGCAGCTTTGCCAGAGCCACTGATGCCAACCAACTCGACAAAGACATCTCTTTTCAACTAACATTAAACTTTGCGTGCCCCTGGAGCACTATAAGTTTGTGACAGGTTTTTGCTACTATTAAATTTTATGTCAGAGCAGTAGTATAACAAATTTCTCACAGCTTCAAACACACGTGTCAAAGAGAGCCCAACTTAAGAGGACCTAACTCCTAGCTGTGCCCCCACCCCCCACCCCCACACCTCACCCCCAAACAAAAAAAACCTCACATCTCTTTCTCTCAACATTCACTCAGCTAGAAGCATAGGAGAACAGAATTAGAGGAGAGCCCAGGTAGGTGAAAATTTTGGTCATAATAAACAAACGACGTATAAACCACGTAGTGAAGAGATTCTGGTACATCGACAAAGTAATGACTGAAAGTCAACTACCATTCAACAGAACCAAAAAGAAAGGAATCTCTTCTGTGATTAAAATGTTTTTCTTTATGCAAGTGCAGATTTCCAGAAAAACGAAGTTTATAAGAATGCATTAGGCACACCACCGCATATTATAGATGATGACCCAAACACCTCTGCGGACTCAGACTGACCACCTATATCCCTCTCGTCTTTTTTTTTAATAAGAAACAGGCTTCATAATATAGATTATCCCTCTCGTCTTTCAATAACAAACAAGTCACATACTTAGAACCCTAGCATACATTTCAAACAGACTACCAGAACACTAAGGGACAGTTACACCTTTTTCTTAATAACCATGATGCCTAGGCCAGCTTGCGCGCACCTAGACTAGTTCCATGAGGCACCTGCTACCTCCCACCAGCACAAGTACATAATAACTCAGCCCACCAAGGCTTGATCAACCCTCTTCATTGACACCCTTGGGTGTCTAAGGATTGTTACATCTATACATGTCTCGCTGGAAAAATAGAAATATTTCATCTCTATCAAGGCTGAGCAAAGAATGATGTAATTATGTCAGTAACCTTCCCTCTTGTCTTTTTTTAAATAAGAAAGAGGCTTCACAATATAGTTTATCCCTCTCGTCTTTCAATAACAAACAAGGTCACATACTTAGAACCCTAGTATACACTTCAAACAGACTACCAGAACACTATGGGATAGTTACACCTTTTTATTTAATAACCATGGTGCCCAGGCCAGCTTACGCGCACCTAGACTAATTCCATGGGGTACCTGCTACTTCCCACCAGCACAGGTACCAAATAACTCTGTCCACCAAGGCTTGGTAAACCTACTTCATTGACATCCTTGGGTGTCTAAGGATTGTTACATCTATACATGTCTCACTTGAAAAATAGAAATATTTCATCNTCTAGAAAGCGGACATATTCTGGAGGCTACATGCATACAAGTGCACAACGTTTCCCATCATCTCAAAGCATGTAAAAAGGGCGAAAAGAATATTTCTTGTTTCTTTTCTTGAATCAAACAATATTAGTTAAATAGGCCACAAATCAACATCATAGATCACAAATACATGTGTCTGGATCGAACCAGAAAAACTTATATGTCACAGTACATAATTGGATTAACCAAGTATTGCTATGAAACCAATATTGAAGACATACCTTCCAGGAAGCAGCTGAGAACTGTTCACAGGACCCTTAGAATTTCCGAATCTTTTTGCCCTATTTTCTTGTTCTTTCTCAACACGCATAGCAGCCACCTCTTTCTCCATGGCAGCAACCTCCCTTCTCATCTTTTTGGCCTCAACCTCCATGGCTTTTGTTAAAGTCTCTACTTTCTTAGCTAACATCTGATCCCAAGAAAGCAAAATAAGCGCAAACATCAGAGCGAAGGAAGCCATAACTTTGCTGAGAAAGCAATCAGCCTAACCTCAATGGCGTCGTCCTTGTCTTTAAGACTTTGATCTTTTTCATGACCAGCTTTCCTCAAAGAAACTACTTCTTTTTGCAGTAAGTCATATAGTAGTCCAGGCACAGTATCTTCTGGTTCACTTACTGGTAGGCCAGTGGGTTTTTCATCCTGATTTGCTTTCCAAGAAGTACTCTCAGTCTCACTGTCCTTAGCTCCATCAACAGACTTGCTGCTGTTGAAATTTGGACCTGTTACATTCAGAAGTTTTTTACCCCTGTCCAATGATCTTGAGCCACCATCAAATGACTTTGAGGTCCCTTTCGCATGCTTCAAAACAGTACTGGATACAGAAGATCTCAGCTGAAATGATGGAGATCTCTTCGGTAAGAAGCCATTAGAGGTCAATTTGGAGATACTTTCAGCTCCACTGAGTGACTGCCGACGTGAAGGACCATTGCTTGAGCTTCTACCGTCTGGTGTACTGCGAGCGCCACTGCTAGATGATCTCAATGTCTCTTCCAAGACCTTGAGCCTCAACTGATATTTCTCCTGAGTAAGAGATAGAATTTAGGAAACTATGAAAATAACATCAAAAATCATGTTCAGGTGCCCCTTCTATTGGATAAAATATTACTTTTAACATGGCTTCTGACTTTGCAGTTCTTTCAGTGATTGCAAGCTTGTCACGTAATTGTTGCATCTCACCCTGCAGTACATGACTTAGGGCTTAAATGACAAATATGAGCTTATTAAACCACATGAGCATAATGTAGTAAGTTCTATTAGGCCAGGATCCCCTATCTTATAAATTGCAAGCCATTGAAAACTATCATACCTGCAAAACCCTCCTCTCTTCAAGCCACTGTTTCACTGGCATTACTTTATCATTGGCATCTTTCCATTCATTAGCAACCACAGTTGCTACCCTGTTAGCTGTTACCTTTGCACGTGCTAGCTCGCGATCAAGAGTTTTTCTTTCTTCCTGGAAAATAGATTAGCAGATGTATTCCAACCTTTAGGATTCTCGACATATTAACTACCAAAAGTCTTTTTTATACAAAAATATTCTATCTAGGATAGTTTACATTCATTTCTTGAACTTTACGTTGGTAATCCCGGACAGCATTAGCAGCTGCCCCACCAGCCAGAACAGCCTCCTCAAGTTCGCGTACACTTTGGGTAAGTTTTTCAACCTCTGCAACCTTTTGGCGATGCATTCTGTCTAAGATTTTATTTTCTTCCTGATATATATTATTGAAACAGAATAAGCGGAAATAGAATGCAACTAAATCACTAAGGTGGCGTTTGTGTCAGAAAGGGTGGCAACACTTTTCCTGAATTTGTTTTCCAATTTTTGAAAAAGAATTTTTAAACCAAACACCATTAGAGAGTCTAATAGAGTTTGGGTAAAGAGAATTTTCCCAAAGAGAAACAAATATTTCCTGAAGAAATTGAATAATCTTTTGATACAAATGCCACCTAAATGCTCCAATGTTTTAAGCAGCAGAACCAACAGTCATATCATCAACATACCTGGCATATCTCTATCTGTTTCATCAGCTCTTGATTCTTATTCTGAAGGTCATCTACCATAGAAGCCTTTGCTAATGCTGACTGCACAGTTCTCTCTGCATCAAGTAAAGCTGCCTCTTTTGACTTGGTAAGACGGTCCAACGCTTTATTATCATCTTGTAGTTTCGCAATCTGGAAAAAGATAAAGTAAAGAGTAAGAAAGCATACTCATATGAGAGTGAGATTTACCGTCATTTTCAGATGAAATGTAGGCAGACACCTCTTGACGAGCAAGTTTGAGTTCAGCCTCCAAAGGCGCAAGGATGGCCTCAATTGGGGGCATATCATCATCCTTTTGAGCGGCATGGACCCTTCGAAGGGTGGCTTCTGCTGCAAATTGAGCTGCCATGGATGCTTTCTTCTCATCGTTGATTTTCTTGATTTCAAGATTCTGTAAAGCAGAAGTAAAGTTATAAAAGTTTACCCAAAAAGAAAGAATCTATAATAAGAAGATTTTGAGTTTGTACCTTGCTTTCTAGAAGTGATTCTGTCAATTTGAGCTTCTCATAGACCCTTGACAACTCGTCAGTGAGCTGAATTATAAATCATAGAACAATGGAAACTTCTATATGAGCTTTTGTCCTTAAATGCCAGGAGAAGAATAACAGTCACTACAGCAAAAAATAATCAGATATTTTATGCAAAAATAGAGCTAAAAGACTGTTGCCAAATCACAAATGCAATCATAATCCAGATATGCCCATCTTCAACGAGTAGATAGCACTTTTTCAATGAGCCATGACATTCTTATTTTCAGATACACCCCCCCCCCAAAACCCACACACACAAAGTAAGCAAGTACCAAAGAGCATTTTTATGCAGCTTCCAAGAGATATGGGAGATCTAGGAGTAGGATATTCTTAATTAATTCAAAAGATGAAACAGAATGGATCACGTTTCCCAATTCTTCAAATAGAAATAACAAAGAATACAGATAAATAACAGCAAATCTCATTCAAACAAGATTAAATTTATACAAGAAAAGTATCTGCTGGATTTTAAGGGATCACACACATCAACAAAATGTGACAATTGAAATTCTACATTTAAACTTTTAACAGTTGTGGAACAAAACAAAACATATACAGTATATCCTACAATTTCCTTTCACAAATATCCATTATCTTTTGGTTTCACAACCAATGCATTACCCTCCTAGTTGCTTGCATCCAGTCTGAAATTCAGTTTATTAGCAATTAACACTGCTAAAAGAGTGTCCTACTTCTACCCCGAAAGAAATACTTGCATAACTAAATTAGCCAAACTATATCAACTGTGCTAAGAGTACCTCTTCAACAGCCTTTTCTCGTAGACGTTCGGACAACCTTAACGCCTTGATCTCAACTTGAGCTTCTGACAGTTCCCGGTCCTTATCTGCCGAAAATGACACCATTAGTACGATTCAGTCAACAATCCAGAACAGTTAAAACACCCAAATCGGAGTTGGATCCACAAACCTCTGACTTCATTCTCCAGTCGATTTAGCTCCAACTTGACCGGATCCGAGCCGTGGAGCAGGTTCATGAACTCATCGGCGTCTAGGCTCGGCCTCACCGCCGATGTCCTTCTCCGGGAAGAACCTTTGCCTCCTTCCTTGAAGGATGCCGACACTGTCAACGGCGTCGGAGTAACGGCAACCTCACTCGGTCTCACATTGCTCACCTCCGGCGTCTCCATATCGCCGGAAACCTCCGCCATCTCCGATCTGTTGACTTATTCCCCTATCTCACATCAAATGCATACAGTGAAAGATATACTAAAGTGGAGTAGTGTTTATTTTGAAGATGAAGAAAAGTAGTATATGTAATGCGAGAAAGCTTTTTGGTGTCTCGTTCTCTCTCTCTCTCTATCTCTCTTCAAGTGTTTAAGCTTAAAATCAGAGTGCTGTGCTGATGGCTTATGGGGTTTGTTTCTCTACAAATTTGTACTATTTACTATATCTCCTTGATTGAGATTGAGAGAGGAGGAGAAGACTGTTATTGTGACTAGTGTGGGTGTGTTTAGCTGTATGATCTGACCATATTTTAATACTCATATTATTATACTAGTATTATTTGATACTTCCACCTTATTTTACCATACTGCCCTTCCTTGCATGTCACTTTTTCTTTCCATATTTTCATTTTACAAGGAATTTATCAATCTATACTATATTAAAAGCACGAAAACCCTATCGAAATGTCGTTCGCTTTTTTTTTACCATTCGTAAGTACATTATATGTTGGATATAATAGTAATTGTAATAACGATTTTATTCAAAATTTTAAAAAAAAAACGTTAATTGTCGACTACTTGCGGCAGGGGCGGATCCACCCCTTTAAGAAGGGGTGGCATGGCACCCGGTAAAATAATAAAATTTTTAGATACCTATGTTGAGATTTCCTTAAATTAGGTTAATTATCTAATCCTGCCACCCGCAACCGTAAACTAGACAAAAGTGCCATGGCTGTAGACCTTTTTGAAAGCTTTTCTCGTGTGTAAAATTCAAGGAATTTATCTTGAACCTTGTCTGACTTTCTCTTTTCTTTGTGCTTTCATTTCCTTTTGTCCCAGTCATTTCCCTTTTCGGCTACTGTTGATACCCAATTTTGCCCTCATATATTTTTCAAACAATATATATACTTTCAAATATCATTTTGCATTATTATTTAATTTATAAAATTTACACAAGCACTTCTTATAATTTTTCATAATTTTAGAGCTTTTAAATTAATTTTCTCGCATTAATTTACATAAAATATTCAGTAATTACCCTTTTAAATTATTTGTGATGACTTAATCACTTCAAATTATTATTTGCATCCCTAATACATTTTTGAAATATTTTTACTTCATTTTTATATAATTACAATTGTATTTTTAGGCTATTCGCATAAATTTGCAATAATAGCTCATATTTTGCATTCTTATTGCAATTGACATTTCATTTAGGGTTAAAATAATATTTTGTATTTTTTATAGTCTTCTATTATTGTTTAAAGTATTAATTTGCATAAGTAGCATTTTTATATATTTATTTAGTTATTTTATTAAATTATTTCCCTTTTAATTTTTATTTAAAAGAGCTGGCCCAATTTTTTAACTAATTTTCGGACCAAAAGGCCCAATACCCTAACCCAATAACCCCTAGCTCAACACCAGCAACCCACCACCCATACCCATTTAATTAACCCGCCCCAATCCCTCTTTAAAACCCTGGCCGTCGATCTCTAAGATCAACGACCCACAATCAACCTACCCTTTTAAATTATCCAACCCCAAACCCTAATCTCATTTCCCTCTAACCCACCACCCTGAAACCCTTCCCTTTCTCTGAAGAACCCTAATCGCCGCCTTCCTAAAACTCTCTGAATCCATCTCAAATATGGATTCTTTCCACGATCTTCTTACCTTATTTGTATTATCTCGTTACCATTCACCCGTTCGTGGTGTTACTTAGTACTTGCCCGATTTTGGCAAGTACTACCTCTCCGAATCAAGTGTAATCATCCTCAACCTACAAGATTCAGACGAAAATCCATTTGTATACACTCTCAACAGGATCATGTGGGTTCGATTCACCGAGATTCTTGGCTAATTTTTTGACCATTTGCCAACTAGGGTTTGTCCGATTTTTTTTTTACCTATTTCTACTCGGAATAGGATATGCATGTGACTTTCCTTGTTCCTGCTTAAATTTGACTAATTTTTTTCTCTATTTGTATTTAATTGATTGTTTTCCATATTTGTTCTTCCAATTTCTGTCACTATATAAACCCCTCCCAAGTCCCCTTTAAGACAGACTTGAAAATCAATTTTCTTCACTAAAAAATTAGGGTTTTGCTACTATCTTGCTCTGTATTCTGTATTGGCCGGCTGAAAGCCAAGGCCATTAACACCTTGTTACTTAACCTGTTCTTGGTGCGAGCATTGCCCTGAGTTCATCGAAGCTCTTAGGAACTTTGACGCATTGGGATTCTGGTGAGTTACTAGACTTTGTAATTTCATTCCTATGTATCTATGATTTGCATATATTTTCACTCCCGAAGTTCGTCAGTTTAATATATTTTTCTGGGCTGTTTTGTGTGCAATTCTGTTTGCTTTCTTCAATTTTTTAGGTCTCTTTAACTTTTAGCTTCAAGCATGCCTAAACTTGGTTCTATTAAGTAGATATTTTCCAAATCTGACTAGTCCATCTGTTAAGAATTACTACTGTTTGGGACCTTTACACTTGTTAGCATCTCTTGGTGTTTAATTTTGTATTAGGCCATCAATCTTGTTATTCGAATATGCTTTGCCTACATAATTTGTGCTCTCTTTCGTTAGCTAGTCGATTGTGTTTAAAACCTGAGTATGTACACTCACTATATGGCACAAATCTGTTTCTTATCCTATTCTGAATTGTTGTGATGATATCCTGCCTATATAGCATGTTTGATCCTGTTAGTATGCCCTTTAGCATGTTTAA